GAAACGGGAGATTGGTCGGTAGACGATCTCAAGATGGCGTGCAATCGGCTTAGAATGGCATTCCACCGATCGAAACAGCCTGCACAATCGATGTGATTACACGACACCCTTTACGTCGTTCTGCTGCAAATGCACACGGACACGTGCACACTCATTAATATCTATATTCATATAAATATATATACATATATAAAACATGTTTAGACACACACACACACACACACACACACATATATATATATATACATATAGTGTTCCAATAACCTAGAACAATTTTAAATGTCAATTAAGTTTAAGCGTCTAATGCATTTTGTCTTTTTCTTTTAGATTTAACAATTTAAGTCTTTGATAATTTCAACCATGGAAAGATTAACAATCAACGTGTTAAGTTTATCGAAGCCTATTACGAAAATGGCGGCTCAAATTTATAAATATACAGCCAAATGATTACGCTAGCAAAAAATGCACACCAAAAAGTGCACACCAAAAATGCACATCCTTTTGTGGATGCAGTGGCTTTGCAATAATCTTCCTTGGATTTTCACCAGCCCAAATGCAATAATTCTACTTATTAACTAATCCACCAACATGAAAATGGGCTTCATCGCTAAATAAGTTTTTTTTTTTATATAAAATCTTCATCGGTCTTTGCTCGTGCACCCAATTGACGAATGTACGTCGCTCCAAATGGCCAGAAGGTTTCAGTAGTGTCAATTGAATTTTGTAAGCGTGTAGAGAGAAATCTTTTGTCAACATTCAATATGACGTTGTTGTTAAGAGGTTCAGTTCCTGTGCACGATGACGAATAGAGGTGTCTGGATTTTCGGCCACATTCTTGTGCACTACAGCAATGTTTTCAGCTGAACGGCGTAAACGAACACGCAATAGTGTTTTCAAATCTGCCACCGACCCAGTTTGTTTGAATTTAAGAACAATTGTTTTTCCAATTCCGCTCTCGGTGGGTCGATTATGTTGACCCCCGCCCAAAAAAATCGCAAAATACCCAAAATGCATTTCTGTTTGAACGTCCATTTTCGTAATAGGCTTCGATAACTTTAACACATTGTTTGATTGTTAATCTTTCCATGGTTGAAATTGCCAAAGAAAAAAAATTAGACGCTTAAACTTTTTTTTGTTTTGTTTTAAACGTTTAACCCCAAGCAAGGCGGGAAGCCACTAGGTCGCAAGATTTGAAGCAAGATCAGATAGGAGTGATAGAGGAAATGATGAGGAGAAGGATAGTGGATAGATCAAGGCAACTGGAGATGTCGATTGACATTACATTTGAATAGTTGGAGATTATAGTTCTCAGGGCAACTGGAATAAGGAAGGGAGTTCAATGGGCGAGAGGTGCGAGATATGAAGCTATTGGAGTAGAAGAGACGGCTACATTTAATAGTTTCAACGGTGAGAGCGGGATGCCAGCCTCGTAGGGCGCTTGAACTCATGAAGTCTGGGAACCAGCGAATGCAGCTCCTCGGAGCAATTACCATGAAAGTATTTGTAAAACAGACAGAGAGAGGCGACCGCGCGTCTGTGAGAGAGCGACTGTAGACGAGATGCCAGATCAGGGACAATTATATTGCATATCCGCCTCTGGATCAAGAACCCCGAGGCAAACAGACGGGGCTCCAGACCATATATGGAATTTAGAACTGGTCCAGGTTATTGGAACACCCTAGATGTCGTCTGGTCTTTATCGACGACAAAATGTTTTTCGGCACTTTTTTTTCGCCGTTAAATTTGCAGTTGTATGCATAAAGATTTTTTTTCTAAAATGGTTGTTTGTATATGAATACGTCGTATTGATCTACGATTTTAAAATATTATTCTTAATTTCAATAACTAATAGACTATAATTATTTTAAAACGAATAAATCTAACAGAATTACTTAAATTATTATTAAATATTAAATATACATATGTATATTTCATTTATCGGAATGTATGTGCTTGTAAAACTCAGTAAATTTCAAAAAAAGTTATTCAAAAATTTGCTTGAAAATGGAACAGGATTACGGACTTTAATTTTATTCTATAATTTGAATTTGAATTTTTTAGTTTCTGCTTTGCAACATGATAATTCTTTGTAGCGATGGAACCATATTTTTGAATTAGTAAATTTATAATATTTATGTTCTGTAGATTTGTATTGATCACTGTTTTGTAAAAATAAAAATAATTAATAAGAAGGACGGATTATATATCTTACTGTTCTTTCTATTTATTATAATATATATATATATATATATATATATATATATATATATATATATATATATATATATATAGTAGGCTTACACAGGAATCGTTTCATTTATACTTTGAATTTAATGTAACTAAAAACCTTTCACTTTTAAACTTGCCTTGATAGAAATGGATTGACGAAACACTTCGGCAATGACTAAAATATATTTTACAATTTTCTTCTTTTTATCCAAATTGTATGATTTTCAGAATTATTCTGAGAAATTTAACATATATATATATATATATATATATATATATATATATATATATATTAGGCAGGATATTTTCATTCAAGCGTGGTTGGTTACATAATTTAAACGTATTATTTCTTTTCTTTTTTTTTTAATTTTAATCCTTTCAAATCCAGGAATAAATTTCTTGTTGCCTGTAGAAAATTGATCAACAAAATGCTAAAATTAAAGATAAAAATATTTTGAATTTACGATGTTAACAAATAACACGTCCATAGATATGTACCCCTTCTTCAGCCACCAAGAAATTAATTCGTGGACTTGAAATGACTAAAACTAAAATAAATAGACATATGTTTAAATTATTTAACCAAATATGCTTGAACATATATATATATATATATATATATATATATATATATATATAATGTCGGTTTGAATGATCCAGCTTATTGATTCAGTTATGAAATGCGATAATCTTAATTGGCATGTAAGACCCCTAGTGATTTCAAAGGAGGCCACATAGACAGGTGTGAGGATTTGAGATGAGATCACTGTTAGATCGGCTGACCTTTTAATGTCTAGCTTCTGGAAGATGATTCAGACAAGCAGATTTGAGTCCACTAAAACACGTTGATCTCCATTCTATCCGCTTCAGGCTAAGCCCTCAAGGGTTTATGTGTTTATTTGCTCTTCACACACACACACACACACACACACACACATTCATATATATATATATATATAAAATAGATATATATATATATATATATATTTATATATATATATATGTTGATATATAAATATATAATATATATATATATATATATATATATATATATATATATATATAAAATAATTCTCGTGACATAACTTCAGTCGTATTTCAAATGGCGTATTATGAAATGAACGTCAATTATTTAAACAATTTTATGTTTTACGTTCTTTTTATAGATACAAATATACGTAAAGCTGTTTATAATAAACAGTATTAACGACATGAATGTAGAAGAAATTTTCCGAAAAATCATTTGAAGAATTGTGTTTAAACAAAACAGTCTTAAAATAAAATCGACCTAAAACGTCATTTAACATTTGAACTCTCCTAGATATAATGAATGAGCTCAATCGTGTTTAAAAAAGGCACGTCCTCTGTGGCTCAATCGGTTATATATATATATATATATATATATATATATATATACACGTTTCATTAAATAATATAGACAAGTGTTGTCTATTTATTTTATGTAAATTTTTTTTCGTAACATCTGATAAGTTTAATAACATTATCGTTGAACGAAGAAAGAAATTCCCAATATTGATCCATATTTTTTTTAATCCAATCTAAGTTTTCGGCTTACTTAAGCCATTATCAAAGATGTCAATTCCAACATATTAAACAATATACGGACACGACAGTGATGAGAGTCTGTCATTGTTTACATAGATGATTTCTAAGCAACGATAAACACGCGCATAGAAGACGCTAGAAGCGAAAATCGCACCGCATCTCATGACGTCACACATGACCACACGAGAGTGAATTGGAGAATGAAGTATGGAAAGCCGTTGGTATATATATATATATATATATATATATATATATATATTTCTTCTCATGTTAAATTTTGACAGATGACAAGCCAGCCTATAAGAGAGTGTGCTGCATGTGTAGCCAATGTAAGAATTTAATGTTGCTTGACCACAGCGTTCGATAATCTTCATTTTTTGTCAATACACTGAAAGATTCCGTTTTTGGTGGTTAGAAAGTCTAAAATCCCCCCCCGAAGAACAATGGATTTGACACGTAAATAAAAAGTTGTCTCCCCTGAACAGATAATTTAATATTTTACGAAAAGTTATGTACGTCAAAAGACCATATTTTGAAGGACGTCAGGACGCTTAATTTTTATTTATTTTTTTTTTTTAAGCGTTTCACCCCAAGCAAGGCGGGAAGCCACTAGGACGCAAGGGGTTACAGAAAATTTAGAGCAAGATCAGATACGAGTGATAGAAGAAAGGATGAGGAGAAGGGTAGTGGATAGATCAAGGCAACTGGAGATGTCGATTGACATTACACTTGAATAGCTGGAGATTATAGCTCCCAGGGAAACAGGAGAAGGGAAGGAAGTTCCACGGGCGAGAGGTGCGAGACATGAAGCTATTTGAGTAGAAGAGACGGCTACATTTAGGAGTTTCGACAGTGAAGGGGTGAGAGCGGGATGCCAGCCTCGTAAGGCGCTTGAACTCATGACGTCTGGGAACCAGCGAATGCAGCTCCTCGGAGCAATTTCCATGAAAGTATTTGTAGAACAGACAGAGGGAGGATTTGCTGGGGTCGTGGAGTCGAATAAATTCTATGTGCCGTGTTTCTTCAGGGGTGTCGATGAAGATGGCTCTCCACAACTTCCTATCCATTATAGTTCTTAGCAATGTTTGTTTTTTTGCTTTACCTTCTACAACCGTTCCAATATCCATCCACACAAGCTCGTCAAGCTGCGTTCCTCTGGATATTTTTTATTTAATAGATGTTTTCAGTATCAAATTCTCGAAATCCTACATCATTATTGTGTGTCTACATAGATAGATAGATAGATAGATAATGAAAAGAGGTTGATAGATAATGAACAGAATTATATCAGATAGATACACAGATAAAGAAGAGAGATAGATAGATAAATAGATAGATAGGTAATGAACAGAATTAGATAGATACATAGAAAATGATGAGAATTTGATAGAAAAAAGTAAGATAGTGAAGAGAATTTCATATATGTAAACAGGGCGAAAAACAATGGATAGACAGATATAAACAGGCGAAATAGATAGATAATGAAAAGTATTTGATAGATAGATAGAGATAGATACATAGATACATAGATACATAGATAGATAGATTAGAATGAAAATGTGAAAATTTAACTATTCTGATATATATCAAATCTGCAATATTCAACTTTAGCGTAGGTAGAGAACATCCCATTTAGATTTGTGTCTCGCCGCCATATTTGATATTGCTTCATTGAACAGACTGAGATAAGGGTTAAGAAGAAACAGATAGATAGATATGAACAGACCTGGAAATAGATAGATAGATAGATAGATAGATAGATAGATAGATAGATAGATAGATAGATAGATAATGAACAGATGCTCTAGATAGAAAATGAAATAGATACCACACATAGATAGGATAGATAGATAGATAGATAGATAGATAGATAGATAGATAATGAACAGACTGCCACAGATAGATAGATAAATAATGAACAGACTGCCACAGATACTAGATAGATAGATAGAGATAGAAATAGATAAATGAACAGACTACACAGATAGATAGATAGATAGATAGATAGATAGATAGATAGATAGATAGATAATAAAACAGACTGCCACAGATAGATAGATAGATAGATAGATAGATAGAGATAGATAGATAGATAGATAGATAGATAATGAACAGGCTGCTCTAGATAGAAAATGAACAGACTACACATAGATAGATAGATAGATAGATAATGAACAGGCTGCCTAGATAGAAAAATGAACAGATAGATAGATAGATAGATAGATAGATAGATAATGAACAGATAGATAGATAGATAGATAGATAGATAGATAGATAGATAGATAGATGAAGATAGATAATAAACAGACTGCCACTAGATAGATGAATAGATAGATAGATAGATAGATCATATACCAGTCTAGTTGAACGCTTAAACATGAAGTCTGGGAACCAGCGAAAGCAGCTCGTCGGGCAGTTACCGTGAAAATATTTGTAAAAAAAAGACAGAGAGAGGCGACGGCACGTCTGTGAGAGAGCGACGGCAGACGAGATGCCAGATCAGGGCCAATTACATTGCATATCCCTCTCTGGATTTTATTAAGGTCCTTGGGACAAACAGAAGGGACTCGAGACCATATATGGCAGCAATACTCCATGCAAGGGTGAATGGTTGATTTGTAGATCTGGAGGATCGGTTCCGGCGAGAAAAATTTCCTGGCGCGGCACAGGGAGCCAACTTTCCTTGCGGTGGACGAAGCTATTGACTTAATGTATTTGTTCCATCTCACGTCAGTAGACAACGTGAGACCGAGCAGCCGCAATTATAATTGGTTTTGCTCCGAATTATTTATAGCTCAACTTAATAGTACATAACAATTAATTTTTTTTTTTTTTGTTTTTTGTTTTTTTATCTTTTGTCAACCATCATGATATTTGTATTTATTTTTGTTGTTATATAAATACTTCTCGGGGCCTTCGTATTAATTCTTATTATTATCTCAATTAATTAACGCACAGCTCGAAAATGTATTTTTTTTCTATCGAAATGTCCGTGTATGCATCTGCTTTGGAGTAACATTTTACCTTTTTCATTCAAAATCAGGAAATTAATTAAAATTTGTCATTAAATTCGCGTTGCAAATTTCAATCCATGTTGAAGGTATCAGTCAACTTCGATTTTTAATTGTTAATGTTGCCGAGTGTAAATTTTTAGAATAATTTATGGTAAGATCCTGCAATTATATCGGAATCGAGTCGAAATTATCAGAACGAGAAACAGGTCGAGAGAGAGAGAGGGGGCGAAAATAAAAGTAATCGAAACGATTATAATAGTGTTAATATGATCTATTAAAACAGGTTGTTTTTCCCACCCCCTTCTATTTCCATTATCAATCATACCGACGCAGCTTTGTACAGCACAATATCACCCAAGCGGCATCCACCTAATGATTTAAGAAACTACTCCCCAATGAGGCATTATTTTATTTATTGAGCTCTCTGTAAGGCCGTATTAATTACTTGATTAGATATCGTATTGGTTACCTCGACATAGCTTTGGCAGTTTCGTCAAGAAATCGTTAGGTGGCGCTGTTAAACAATTATAAAAACGGTACGCTTCCTGTCATGACTCTCATTTCCTTTTCCGTTTATTTACTGAGCACTTCTTAATATGGCACAAGGCCGTATTAATTACTTACCCAAATATCGTATCTGTCGTGTTGGTTACCTTGACATAGCTTTGCCAGTTTCACCAAGAAATCGTTAGGTGGCGCTGTTAAGCAATTATAAAAAAACAGGACACTTACTGTCATGACTCTCATTTCCTTTTCCGTTTATTTACTGAGCACTTCTTAATATGGCACAAGGCCGTATTAATTACTTACCCAAATATCGTATCTGTCGTGTTGGTTACCTTGACATAGCTTTGCCAGTTTCACCAAGAAATCGTTAGGTGGCGCTGTTAAGCAATTATAAAAAAACAGGACACTTCCTGTCATGACTCTCATTTCCTTTTCCGTTTATTTACTGAGCACTCCTTAATATGGCACAAGGCCGTATTACTTACCCAAATATCGTATCTGTAGTGTTGGTTACCTTGACATAGCTTTGCCAGTTTCACCAAGAAATCGTTAGGTGACGCTGTTAAGCAATTATAAAAAAAACAGGACACTTCCTGTCATGACTCTCATTTCCTTTTCCGTTTATTTACTGAGCACTTCTTAATATGGCACAAGGCCGTATTAATTACTTACCCAAATATCGTATCTGTCGTGTTGGTTACCTTGACATAGCTTTGCCAGTTTCACCAAGAAATCGTTAGGTGGCGCCGCTGTTAAGCAATTATAAAAAAAACAGGACACTTCCTGTCATGACTCTCATTTCCTTTTCCGTTTATTTACTGAGCACTCTTAATATGGCACAAGGCCGTATTAATTACTTACCCAAATATCGTATCTGTCGTGTTGGTTACCTTGACATAGCTTTGCCAGTTTCACCAAGAAATCGTTAGGTGGCGCTGTTAAGCAATTTTAAAAAAAAACAGGACACTTCCTGTCATGACTCTCATTTCCTTTTCCGTTTATTTACTGAGCACTCCTTAATATGGCACAAGGCCGTATTAATTACTTACCCAAATATCGTATCTGTCGTGTTGGTTACCTTGACATAGCTTTGCCAGTTTCACCAAGAAATCGTTAGGTGGCGCTGTTAAGCAATTATAAAAAAACAGGACACTTCCTGTCATGACTCTCATTTCCTTTTCCGTTTATTTACTGAGCACTCCTTAATATGGCAAAAAGGCCGTATTAATTACTTACCCAAAAAAATATCGTATCTGTCGTGTTGGTTACCTTGACATAGCTTTGCCAGTTTCACCAAGAAATCGTTAGGTGACGCTGTTAAGCAATTATAAAAAACAGGACACTTCCTGTCATGACTCTCATTTCCTTTTAGCACACAATAGAAAGACACCCACCGGACTTGTCCCATGGAATGGGTATATGATTCCCTTAAAGACAGAGCTTAAGCACACACAGCATACATACAGAGACGTATATCCCCCACACAATTCCTAAGTTTCCCGAAAAATTCTTTTTTTTCACGTGCATACTGTGTATTTTCTCTCCTTTGTTACTCAATTATATATAAACAAAAATATAAAATATTGCTCCCTTGATATCTATTCTGTTTCCTTCAACCCGTCATGCACAAATTTTGGTTGAAACAGCTTTTTTTTTTTTGAACTAGAAACAGTCAAACAACAGTCGCTTTGATCGCCATGTTTCAGCCGATATGCTCTTTATCTAATACTGATAAATTTGCTAAATTTGCAAAATGCAACCGGAGGTTCTATGCGAACAGTTTCTTCTCTCGCACTTCTCGCTTGAGGAACTCTGCTTTCTACTTCAATTTGATCTTCAAAAATGTAAATGCAATGCCAATGTTCATCTATACTCATTAAGTCTGGTTCTTTGTGTCCCCCAATCTTGAATAATGCCTTTTTTTCCCCTCATGATCATTTACACCCGAAAGCGGGTAGTATTAAATAAAATCTACTCATACTCCAGGTCTGATATACTTATGTATGTCCTCTCGATTCCAGATTCTTGCTTTCCAGTCCACTATGATCTTCAAAAATTTAAATGCAATGTCAATCGTTATCTTCTGTCTTCTTAATTCGTCTTCTTTTTATAAAATAATTCAATAGCCTAGTAAAAATGAATAAATAATTATATTACCTACTCAAATAAGTAACCTATACACATATTTACTATCTGTTACATATTATTCGAAATAAATCTAAGCAATTAGCCACCCGAAATTTCCAAACTATTATTACTACGATACTAAAGCCTAAAGAAATGACAGTCAGTAACCGAAAAAAAAAAAAAAAATTCCATATATATATATATATATATATATATATATATATATATATATATATATGAAAGAAAATATACGGAAAAAAATAAAAAAAATCTTAATATGCAATTATGCTGTTTTAATGTTAATATAATATAAAAGACGATGGACATAAGAGCAAGACCCTAGCTCTTATGTCCATCGTCTTTTACATGTTGAATTGAATATGATCTAAGGGTAATTATGTTTTATGAATATGTCCTGAAGATGGTCTATTAGACCGAAACGTCCGACGTTGAAATTATATTAACATTACAACAGCATAATTGTATATTAGGATTTTTTTGTTTTTTCCGTATATTTTTCTTCATACTGTCGGATCTATATCCATATATTTCTTGCATATATATATATATATATATATATATATATATATATATATATATATATATATATATATATATGTGTGTGTGTGTATGTATGTGAGAAAGAGAGAGAGAGAGAGTACTGGGTGTAACAACAAAATTGTTCAAATTCTGTAACAGAAATGTTGTCCAATTCTCAAATTAAGCTTTGAACCATTGTATCTTATAAATGATTAAAGATTTATTACTGGAATTCCCCGTGGTTTTATAGCACTATTGAAGACTACTTTGAACAATAAGAATGTATAATTACTCTGTTGGTATAACAGAAGAATCGTCATGAAATCGATCATAAACAAAAATGTTCATCATTAATTAGGTATAGCATGAAAGATTGAAATAAAGTACAAATAATATATATATATATATATATATATATATATATATATATATATATATATATACCATTTATGTCATAGATGTTTATGAAATCCTACATTGACTAGAAAAGAAAAACTGAAAGGAAGTGCTCGATGTGGAACTTCCAGAAATATGACAGGAATTATCAATTTCTTTTAGCTTGTGAAACTCTCTTTTGTGTAAATTTTTTGCTTTCCAGTCAAGTTTGGTCTTCAAAAATTTAAACGCAAAGTCAATCGTTATCTTCAGTCTTTTTTTTCTATTGTAAACTGTTCTTTTATTGCCTCTTCTCCATAATGACGTTTTATCAGTTTCTTACACTCTGAGCAAACACATTGTGTGTTAGTGGCTTTATCGTCTTACTTGGAGTTAAATTTAAAAAGGAGAATTTGACACTCATAACACATATTGAAATCAAGAATGGCAGAAGGAAACAGTGAGTGACCTACATATCGTTCTTTTACAAATGGATGGTAGAACAAAGACTGGGATGGATAGTAAGGGGACAAACATACAAAAATAGGATGTTGTGGAAAGCCGTGTTCGTCTACGTCTAGAAGAGACTCAGCACAGAAAGAAAATGAGTATTCGTGACAACACCGAGCCTTATAAAATAAGTACCGTATATACTCGCGTATCATGCGGCATTTGAAGACTTAATTTTGAAGTTAATTTTAAGGGGGTCGCATCATACATGAGATTAAAATCAAAATAAAATTAAAATCAGGCTATGTACTGTTGGCCTAAGCTACGTCGTTGACCAAAGGATCAATGTTTAGATTTTCATTACTCAGTTTGATGTATGGAGAGATCAATGCTTATTTAACCACAGATTAGAGTATAATGCCTGGAGAGATCAATGCTTAGATCACTAAGATTTAGATAGTAAGATGTCTGGAGCGATCAATGCTTAGATCACCATGAATTAGATAGTTTGATGTCTGGAGATCATTTAGATCACCATAATTAGACAGTGATATCTGGAGAGATCAATGCTTAGATCACCATGAATTAGACATGATGTCTGGATGATCAATCTTGATCACCGGAAATTAGATAGTACGATGTCTGGGTGATCAATGCTTAGATCACCATGAATTAGATAGTATGATGTCTGGAGAGATCAATGCTTAGATCACCAAGATTTAGATAGTAAGATGTCTGGAGCGATCAATGCTTAGATCACCATGAATTAGATAGTATGATGTCTGGAGAGATCAATGCTTAGATCACCATGAATTAGACAGTACGATATCTGGAGAGATCAATGCTTAGATCAGCATGAATTAGATAGTACGATGTCTGGAGTGATCAATGCTTAGATCACCATGAATTAGACAGTATGATGTCTGGAGAGATCAATGCTTAGATCACCATGAATTAGATAGTACGACGTCTGGAGTGATCAAATGCTTAGATCACCATGAATTAGATAGTACGACGTCTGGATTGATCAATGCTTAGATTACCATAGATTAGAGTACAATGCCTGGAAAGATCAATGCTTAGATCACCATGAACTGGATGGTTCGATGTGTGGAGAGATCAATTTATAGATTTCCATTAATCAGATAGCGTAATGTTTTGGCAAACAAATGCTTAGATTTCAATTGCCGTATATACTCGCGTATCATGCGGCTTTTGAAACACTAATTTTGAATCTAATTTTAACGGAGTCGCATCCCAGACGAGATATAAAATTAGCGCATGTTATGCTGGCTCCCTCCAAAAGGCAGTACCTGCTCCTATTTATAACTAAGTGGATAACTTACATAACACAAACATTCATAGCGAGCACACAGTACGATCATCTAATTAATGTGTCCATAACGACAGTTGCCGAAACAGTCGCTGGTACCATAAATTTTTCCTATCTTTCTTTTATAGTTAGCTATTTGGCCGTATTGGCAAATAGAAGCAACAAATATATTACTTCCATAATGTAAATACCTCCGTCAAGGGGTTTTTAAGCTTCTAACAGAGAATGCAAAACCTAAACGATGACATGCCTGGTCACTGATGTAGTTGCAAGAAGCGCATTGTTAATAAAATAGAAACTCATAAAATACATGTAACATCTCTCTCTCTCTCTCTCTCTCTCTCTCTCTCTCTCGGCACCTTTACAGAACTCATCTCTCTTTCTATATCTCTCTCACTCTCTCTACTTCTATTTCCCCTTCTGATTTTTTTTATAGATGTATTTATTTATTATCGTAATTTTACCCCAACTTTTATACCCCAACGTGCCAAAAGTCATAACTGATTAATTGATTTCTTTCATACCTGGGACCCTAACAGGTGCTACCACTCCAGGGTCAGGTTCGAAGGGAATATCTTTGGCTGATCCTACGGGCTCGGAGAACCCACGGTAAACTCGGCCTTGTTCCACATACGGTCCACGTGTGTGGGGGGCGATAAATATTAACAGTGTTCAACTGTCGAACTCTCTGCTTTGAGCAGAGAGAAACCCGGACGAGGCTTTGCCGAAAGGCCAAGGTTTCGTCCGGGGAGGTAGACAGACCCTTAACCCGTTTATACCGGTTCTACGGGATAATTTTGGCCGAGACTACGGCCTCGGAGAACCCACGATAAACTAGTCCTTGTGCCATATACATCCCTCGTGGGAGGGGCTGTTAAATATTAACAGTGATATAGACTGAACACTGGTCAACCGACACACACTCCCAAGTCGTGTAACATTCTTCTGTTGTATTTACTGTTCAATACACGATTTATCTGCAAAATCTTGTTTTGTTATTTCTTAACCATTTACTTAGTCACAACTTAAAGAAAGAAAGAATAATATTGTAGGAATATAAAGTAAGAAAGAAAGAAAGAAAAAAAGAAAGAAAGAAAGAAAGAAAGAAAGAAAGGAGGTGTGAGAATATTAAGAAAGAAAGAATGAATTAAAAAGAAAATAAAATAAAGAAAAAAGAAAAGAAGAAAGAAAAGATAGAAAATAAAAATAAAAGAAAGCAAAAAGAAAAAAAAAAAGAAAAGAAAAGATAGAAAAGAAGGTAACCGAAAGAAACTATTGTGTATATAGAAAAAGAATGAATTAAAAAAGAGAAATAAAATAAAGAAAGAAAAAAAGAAAAAAGAAGAAAGAAATTGTGGAAATACTAAGAAAAAAAAGAAAAAAGAAAAGAAAAAAGAAAGAAAAAAAGAAAGAAAAGAAAGAAAAGAAAGAATGGAGGTGTGAGAATATTAAGAAAAGAAAGAATGAATTAAAAATGAGAAAATAAATAAATAAATAAAGAAAGAAAGAAAGAAAGAAAGAAAGAAAGAAAGAAAAAGAAAGAAAGAATGGAGGTGTGAGAATATTAAGAAAGAAAGAATGAATTAAAAATGAGAAAAGAAAGAAAGAAAGAAAGAAAGAAAGAAAGAAAGAAAGAAAGAAAAAGAAAAAAGATAGAAAGAATGTGTGGGAATATAAAAATAGCAAATAAAGAATTGTATATAAGGAAAGAAAGAAAGAAAAGAGAAAGAAAGAAAGAAAGAAAGAAAGAAAGAAAGAAAAAAGAAAGAAAAGAAGGAGAGTGGTAACCGAAAGACTGTTGTGTGTGTAGAAAGAAAGAAAGAAAGAAAGAAAGAAAGAAAGAAAGAAATTGTGGAAATACTAAGAAAGAAAGAAAGAAAGAAAGAAAGAAAGAAAGAAAGAAAGAAAGAAAGTGTTGTGACGTCCTCCCTCTAATGAGACTATAGTGGACTCTTCTACTTCCTATAAAATTACTAGTAGAAGTAGGCCTCGGGTGGTCCAGTGATACACTGAACACTGGTCAACCAACACACACTCCCAAGTCGTGTAACACACTTCTGTTGTATTTACTGTTCAATACACGATTTATCTGCAACCTCTTGTTTTGTTATTTCTTAACCATTTACTTGGTCACAGCCCCAACCATTATACCGCCTCGAAGTGCGCTAGGACATGGCACATAACATGCTTGTTACTGCCGTACTGAATCTTAAATTGTGGCCTTGTGCCAAACTTACTAAATACTTGTGCACCGGCACGGTGAATGCTGGTTAAAGATACGCTAAAATGGATCGTTTCTATTGAAGAATGGCTTGAACACGCATCAAATCGTTACTTTATTTCAGGACTTTTGAACTACGGAGGCCAGAGAGTTTTATCCGCTGAGACACAAAGATCAAATCGACAATGATACGGGAATTATTTAGTACTTAATACGGCCTTGAACCGGATTATGGTGGGTTAAACAAATCAAATAATACCTCGCCGGTGTGTAGCGCTTTATAGGTCATTACGTCGACCTCACTGGGTGCGACACAAGTGAGTTTTGTGTCGCATTAAAGCTCTTTCGTAAAGATCGATTGGAACATATATACGTGGGAGAGGCACAGGTTTGAATAGTTCATATTAACATTGTTATAATCCTTTCTCCCGTTTTCTCACTTCCATACTCTCCCTCTCCCTCTCCCCTCCCTCTCCCTCTCTCCTCTCCTCTCCCTTCTCATTCTCTCTCTCTCCCTCTCCCCCCTCTCTTCATTTCTCCCCTCTCTCCATTTCCTCTCTCCACTTCTCCCCCTCTCCCCTCCCTCTCCCCTCTCTCTCTCTTCTCTCCCTCTTTCGCTTCCACTATCTCCTCTCTCCCCCCTCTCTCTCTCCTCTGTCCCTCTCTCTCCCATCTCTCCCCTCTCTCCATTTCTCCCCTCTCTCTTCCCCCTCCTCTCTCCTCTCCTTTCTCATTCTCTCTCTCCCATTTCTCCATTTCTCCTCTCTCTCCCCCTCCCTCTCCCCTCTCTCCCTTCTCTCCCTCTTTCGCTTCCCCTATCTCCTCTCTCTCCCTTCTCTCTCTCCTCTGTCCCTCTCTCTCCCTCTCCCATCTCTCCATTTCTCCCCTCTCTCCATTTCTCCCCTCTCTCTCCCCTCCTCCCTCTCTCCCTTCTCTCCCTCTTTCGCTTCCACTATCTCCTCTCTCTCCACTTCTCTCTCTCCTCTGTCCCTCTCTCTCCCCTCTCCCATCTCCCCCTCTCTCCATTTCTCCCCTCTCTCTTCCTCCTCCCTCTCCTCTCTCCTCTCCCTTTCTCATTTCTCTCTCTCCCATCTCTCCCCCTCTCCATTTCTCCCCTCTCTCACCCGTCCCCTCTCACCCTCCCTCTCTCCCTCTTTCCTTCCCTATCTCCTCTCCCCTCCTCTCTCTCCTCTGTGTCCCCTCTCTCCCATCTCCCCTCTTCCATTTCCCCTCTCTTCCCCTCTCCCCCTCTCCCTCTCCCCTCTCTTCCCCTATCTCCCCTCTATATATCTCTCCCCTCTTCCTCCCTCCCTCTCTCCCCTCTCTCTATCCCTTCTATCTCCCCCTCTCTCTCTCTCTCTCTCTCTCTCAGCCTCCCTGACAGTTTCCACAAGCCTCGGTTGTAACTGGAGCCATTTTCCCCGAATTTTTCGGAAACTGTTTAACGTTAACAATTAAAAACCGAAGTCGACCGCTATTCCCAACATGAAATGAAGTTTACAAAGAGATTTTAATGACAATTTTTAATTAACTTCTTGATTGTGATTGCCAAAGGCAAATTGTGGCGCGAATCAAAGCCACACGCGGACATTCCGACAGAGAAAACTAAATTTTCGAACTGTGCGATAATTGAGATAATGACACTTCAAAAAGTAATTAAATAACAACAATAATGAAAACAAATATTATGATAGTTGTAAAAATATTATTTTTTTTAAAAATAACAGAATTAATTATCTAATTAGTATAAATCAAGCATGACAGAGCAGGAACATCGATACCCTGGGAATTGTGCAAACCAATTGGGTTCGATCATAGAACCAAATGGAATGAGCATGAAACAGAAAGTCCTCATCAAAACGAAGAAAATTATATCAGAATTTCAAGATGCACACAAACCTACCTATTCAAGCAAGAAAACTGGATTTAGTAGGAGAAAAAAATAGTATTTAAATGATCAAATATCCAGAATAGCGATTTTAGAAGTGGGTTGAGCCAAGAAATAGTCAGCACTCTTTCATAAACCTCTACCAAAAGCACGAGAAAGGTAAATGGCTGAATTTTAAATTAGTGAAGTTGGTAAGGTTTTTCAGAGCACAGCGAAATTTGGGTTGCCCCAAATTATAAGGAAGGTGCCTGATAACGAAGGAGATTTAATTTCATTTTTCTGTGTGAGCCAACAGAGTCTACTGGTGTAGAAATTTATCCTTATATGGGCTACTTTACCCAAGAAGAAAATGCCAATTCCGTATTTAATTATTTTAAACCAGTGTTTCACAATGTGCGTGGGCGACACCTCCTTGGTAAATATTGTTCCAATTTATAATTGAGTCAAAATGCAACAAAAGAAAAAATTGTTACCAGCGATTCATTTTTTAAAAAAAGAAAATAATACCAACAATAAAAATCTTGTTGACATTAAATATATCAACCTCAATGGCTTCATTGAGGTTGATATACCGTAAAAAAAAACAAAAAACAAGGGATCTACAAGTGTAAATACTGACATTGCTTTGGGGGAAAGTTCCTTTCTTCAATATGAGCGCTACAAACTAGTAGAATATATCTGAATGCTATTTGTTTCCATCTAGAAAAAAAATATATGTATATCTCTCTAGTTTTATTTCCTGATATTTACTTCGCAATAAACACAGCGACGTTGATGAGGGAAAATGGAAGACAAAGATGCGAAACAATCAAATGTGACTCGATTAAAAGGGATTTAGGCGATACGATGGCTGATCCAGATTGTTTGCAACACAGATTGATAACAACATGGCGGCTGCTGCTGCTGCTACTGCTATTTCGGAGTTTTGAGCAAAACAAATAAAAGAAATTAAAATGAATAAATAGTAGAAAACTATTATCTTTTGATGAAAACATGGAAGACAAATTAATTAAATAAGATTATATTTCGCATTATCCTTCATAAAACACGAATGACGTTCAATATTAATACACATGTTCATATCAACGCAAAATACATTAAATCATGTGTAATATGCAGTGTAACTTTTGAAACTAAATGATTTGGGAAAAGTTCATATATATATATATATATATATATATATATATATATATATATATATATAGTGTGTGTGTGTGTGTGTGTGTGTGTATGTATATATGTATCTATGT